GGATGTGGGATATGTGGGAAATCTCTGTAACTTTCTCTCAAATTTGCTGTGAACCTAAAACTGCTTTAAGAAATAGTCTATACACAAAAACAACAGCGACTCCTCTAGATGCTTAAGTCAGAAATCTGGAGTCCACCTTGCCACGTGTTTGGCTCCCTCCTCCCAAGCTCACCGGTACTTGAGGCTTGGGAATTCCACTATCAGACTTCTCCTACCCCACAGCCTCCAGTACGGCCCTCCACAGCAATGGCCTCACCTGTTTCTGTCTCTTACCCTCTGAGAAGCAAGACCATCTTCTTAAAGCATACATTACATCCTAGCATCTCGTTTACACTTGGGATAACATTTTAAATCCTTATTCTGGTCTCTAAGCCCCTAGCCATGACCGTGACCATGGCCCGAGCTCACCTCTCCAGGCTCGTGGCACAACTTACTACGTGACAGGTGCACTGACCTTCTCAGCCACTCCCAAGTGCCAAGACTCAAAGCTTTGGCACACAGTGGCCTCTCCACTTATGCTTCAAGAATCAATTTAAAAGCCTCGCCCTCAAAAAATTCTTGCTAACCCCTGCCTGCACCACAGAGTGACTTCTCCCTCTGCCCATTCCTACTTTCTTTCCCCCTTCCCATCCACGATGCCAAGATCGCTCTCTAATAAATGCCCGTTAACCTCCCCCTCAGAGTTGGGTTTCCAGAGAATCCAACATGCATGATTGGCAAACAGGGTAAAGTTTGTTTTGGAGGACGAATGATTCAGAGTCAGCAAATTTCAGCCAGTAGGCCAAATTGGTCCACTGCCTGTTTCTGTAAATAAAGTTTTATTAGAACATGTCCACACTCATTTATTTATGCATTGTCTGTGGCTGCTTGAGTTGAGCAGTTGCTATGGAAACCATCTGGCCCTTTACCCAAAAAACCTTATAGACCCCAGTTTTAGATCATTAAAGAAAAATCATATTTGTAAAATAAGGGCTCCTCAAATGTCCTCTGGCTCCTCTAGTAAGAAGTTCTCATGGGACTGAAGGAGCAGAGCCTAATGCAGATTTCTCTGGGAGGCTTGACATGTACGCATATAGTCTGTCATTTTCCCTTGAGTGATGGAAGTACTTTCTTCATGACATAAACCTGCCTCACTAAACATGTATTAGATTATAGCATCAGAACACTGGTAGACACAGTAGACACTCCGTGATCCAGCAGGAATCCGGTCATTCCTCTCCAGTGAATCCTCTCCAGCCATCCACATCTTTGTTCACTAGTGATGCTAAGCTCCACTGGGGACTTCTCAGACCAAGGCCACCAGGAGCCTGAGCACTGGCTGTAGCATACTGAGACAGAGAGCCTACCACAGAACATCAATGCTTGGGGCAAATCAAAAAAGTGCATTCATAAGTCTCTTCTCCAAAAGCATCTAAATGAACTTCCACGGATGTCCTGGAACAGGGGAAAGCTTCAGATCTAGGCCACAGATGCAAAATGAAACTGACAGTAAGTAACGTATCAAAGTCAATACTGTTTTAGGCATGCAACACCCAGCAAAGAGAGAACTACTCAAATCAATATTGTATAGTCCCATAGAACACCACAAAGAATGGGATTTCAGTCTGGGAAGGATTTCTGAGCCAATAAATTCTAACTACCAAATGACGTGGCATATTACATTTATTTAGAAATTAACTGTGTAACCCAGTCTCCTAATAGATTCCGGCCACCAGATACTAATATCACTCTGTATGTCCACGAGTGGTCTTCAAACATTCCCACTGTGGTGAGAGTGGAGACGGGGCCCACCACTGAGAGAGTCCCCACCAATCAAACAGCTCTGCTTAGGACCGTCACTGAGAGGGTACAGCCTTCAGCACTGAATGGCCATGCGGACTCAGGCAAATCAGTTCATCTTCAGCCTCATTTGTCTTAGCTGCAAAATAGGGATAATGATACTGTCTTTACAGAACGGTCTGAAGGATTCCAAGTGATGGACACAACTGATGTCAGCCAGGGCCTGGCATCTAGGATCTGCGCGGTGTATGCTGTGGTCATTGGTAGGATGAGCGCTAAGGATGCTGTGACCCTTCCTCAGAGCAGGGCAGGGAGCTGAGCAGTGCCCATTTGCGGGTGCTGGCAGGAGGCATACCAACCCGTGGAGATACAAAGAATGGACATACGGGGACTGAGAAGGGCAAAACAGAAAGCAATTCTTCAGCGTCTAGAAAGAGAACAGGTCTCTGTGTGTCAGTTAGACGACGACGCCCCGATAGACATGGCCTACCTATACTGCACCAAATGTTTGCAAGTCTCCCATCTTCCCTAATCTTAGTAACCTTTTCCGCGTGTCTGTCCTGGAGGCTCATTCTCGAACACAATGTATAGGACTTCCTGTCGGGTGACCTAACGACTGGAACTGAAACTGCCTTGCCTCTGTTTGTAGAATCTTCCGGACTGCACCTCCCTTGTGGCTGAATGTCAACAAGGTGGCTAGAGAGGATGCTGCTCACGCAGGATTTGGGGATCCTTCAGATGAAAAGAATCAGATTCAGTAACGATGAAACAGGAAGACTGCTAATAGCATGTGTGACCACAGGAGGCTGTCAAGAACGCCTCTGACGAGATCCCAGTTCCAGAGAGGAAACACAAACAGCTCCTCAGAGTTTTTTAAATTTTTAATTTTTTTTGAAGATTTTATTTATCTGACAGAGAGAGAAAGAGAGCACAAGCAGGGGGAACAGCAGAGGGAGAGGGAGAAGCAGGCTCCTCGCTGAGCAGGGAGCCTGATGCGGGAATCCATCCCAGGACCCTGGGATCATGACCTGAGCTGAAGGCAGACGCTTAACCGACTGAGCCACCCTCAGAGCACTGTGTAGGTTAGCCCAGGACAGACTGTGTTAGTTAGAGCCTATGAGTCGTGCTTATAAATCTCAGGCAAGAATTCAGTAGCGTGGACAAGAAGGGCTTTCTTGTCACCTGGGAAGGAATACATCCCATTGCAAATGAGTTTCTGAGTGAGAAAGTATGAAAGTCCGGGAAGGGTTGTGTGAGTGAGTGTGTCTACGCACACATCTGAGGTGTGTGCCCAAAATGGTGAGTTCAAGCTTCTGTGGTTTTTGAGCAGGATGACTGAGGGACCCAGAGTCACATGGACACTCTCCCTCACAGATTCACCTCAGGTAAACAGAACAGAGATTTTTTTTCAAGCTAGAGGGGACTTTCAAGAACACCAAACACACCTCTTCTCTAGCCACCTAGATGAAGAAACAGGCTCTGAGAAGTAGGGTGGCTTGTTCACCTTCACTGCACAAGAAAATAATAGGTCGGCAACTCTCAAAAAGGTGAGCTGGCCTCTGTGAATATCTTTCCTCAAATGGTAGAATGAGGCCACATGATTCACAGCCACTCAAATCCTCCACATGGAATCCTTGGCATCTGGAGTTATTCTGAGGGAAGTCGGCCCATGGGAAGTAGAATTAATTCAATGCTCTGCCTAAGAACACCAGTTACCCGAGGAGTCATTCCACAAAGTCAAAGTCAAGTATCTTCTCTGCACCGAAGCCAAAATAAGTTAGGGTGGGGTGGGGGATTTTCTCTGCTCATGTTCCTCTCCTCTGAAATCAACCTTGGGGACCCGGCTCTAGTGATTTTTAAACATCCTTTGGTGGAAGTGCCATAAATCCAAATGATTATTTCACACCATGCGACACAACATAAAGACAAAGATGTGCCTTGGTGGGGGTGGCAGACATACAACAACGTAGGTTGTATGTTTCTGGAATCTTCACCTACAAGGAGGAGGAAGTGGTTGACTTGAGCAACTTCTTAAAAATACTAAATTGAGGTCCATCTTTGCAACACTGATAAGGGCTTACTTCTTCCTTTTTGCAATAAAGCTTGTAAGACTCAGAGGCATTTTGATGGTCTAATCAACCTGAAAGCCATGTCAAATTGCCTTAGAAATCTCTGCGCATTCAATATATACACACTTGTTAAAATTAATTACATCATTCACCATTTCTACACACATTATAGCTTAAAATGTTTTACAGTCATTTTTATTAATTAATAAATCCTTAATGGACAAAAATTACACTATAAAATTATTGTATGTATGCTGCATTTCCAATTTTACTGCTATTATCTTTAAATATTTCCCCCAAATGGAAAGTCACTAATTTATAAATCAGAGTCTCTCCTGGAAAGTAAAACTGAAAATTGGAAGTTTATGCAGAGAGAGAACTCTGGTGTCAGGCTAAAGCCTGTTTTCCTCTTCCTGATCTCCTAAGAAAGGTAAAGGGTGCCCAGGGCTGCTGACATCTGGGAACCGTGGCAATGGCAGAAATAGCAAATTCTAGCCAAGTTGCCCCCGAAAACTGCTGCTTTTGCAGTTTGGAGAGTCCCCAATTTGCATCTTGTTGAAAATATCCCATAATTACTAATCCCCCCCCACACACACACACACACTCCATTATAGACGATTATTTCTAAGAGCAATCCATAAATACAAACTGATTTGATTATTTCTAAGAGCAATCCATAAATACAAACTGCCGGATTGAAAAGGAAAGCAGACCAGGACCGTGGACCCTTCCAGATACCCAGATGTTCAGCCCAGAGATACAAAACCTCTGGGCGTGGACAGCACTTTTTCCTCTTCTCCCTGCTTTGGAGCGATATGGGCCTAAAATAACTTCATCTGCAGGCCATAGTTTCCTGCTCATGACATTACAGGGTCTGGAGCTATTGCTGGAAACAAAACTTTGAGGGAAGCTCCCTGAGAATCAGATAACAGTATCTGTGAAAACCTAAGGCAGACATCAACACTGAGCTACTAATTGCCAACTCAGAGCAGAGCAGATAAAACGATGCTTCTGAGAACCACTTCTTGAAATAAGGGAAGTCATGTAGAAGAAACCCACTGCCCACCTTGGCAGGGGACTTGCACAGATTACCTGAGGGGTGGGGATCTGTACCTGGCGGCCCCACCTCCGGAGGATGAGTGTGTCACTCACCTGCTGTGTAACTCCAGCCAGGAATGTGGATGGACAGTTGGCTGCCACCACCCCCGGTGTGCCGAGTGGTATAGTCCTCTCTCCCTTTTCTTACTGTGACCTGCTGAACTCCCACACCTGAGAATGCTTGCTTTTCCAACAGACGGGAGCCCCTCCAAGGACAGGTGCAGGGCCCCAGATGCACCTGCTCCAAGGACGGGTTTTCCTTCAAGAAACTTCCTTGCAAACCCGGGTTCCAGCGGGGGCCTAGGAGGTTCTGGTTTCCTTCCGTGAGCTCCTGCTTCAAAGCACTGCTCATTGGCCCTCCATTAGCTGTGCCGTCTACTCCATCTGGTGTCAATCCGTGTGAACTGCAGCTTAGGTTGAGCGACAGGACCGACCTGTGCATTTTAGGGCCAGCAAGCGGAGGCTGCTCAATGGGGACGGAGAGGGACCGGTCTAGATAGTAAATGGAATTGGGGCACTGCTGAGACACCCTGACATGGACGCAGGAGCTGAACACCAGCGGCCCCTTTCCCGACCGCGCGGCGCCCAGAGGAAAACTGTCCTCTCGGTTGTCCACATCCGTGATGCAGTACTCGTGAGTCTCGCACAGCCGGGGGTCCGTCTCGGGCACCTTCAGCCTCACCACAGAGCAGTTTCTGGAGCAATCCGCGCAGGTGAACGGTCCCTGGTGCCCACGGGGCTCGGCACCCCCAGCCGGAGCAGAGGCGTCCCTGAGCAGAGCGCCCTGGGCCCGGCACTCGGTGCACCGCGGGCCCCCCACGGCCTCCCACGCCAGGGTGCCGGCTGCGGGGCCCACGCGCCTGGCCGTGATGGTGATGGACGCAAAGCCCCTTTGGGGGCCGCTGCACGGCTTCTCCTCGTTGGACGGCAGCTCCGTGTCAGGTCCTGGCTCCTGGGCCGCCGGCGTCTGAACGCCCAGCCTGCCGGGAAGGAGGGCGAATGCCCGGCTGATGGAGACCCCGCTGCGGTTCACCCGCGACGGCCTGGCCGTAGGCGCGGCGTGCAGAGCCGGTGCGCAGGGCGCGGGCGGCGCGGCCCGGTTTGCCTTTGATTTACTCTCATCCATCAGCTGTGAAATGACGAGGGATGAAATCATTTTTGTGCTGTGCGATGCCAGAGTCTCCTGCAAATGGGAAAAAGATGACAATTATTCAAACAGCCTATTGTAACGCAGGCGGTCACCTCCCTTTCAAGAGCCAAGAGGACATCCCAGAATCCTGTTCCCGGCCAAGGCCTTCTACCCCACACCTGGCCCCACCTCTGCGTGCTCGGAAGGGCAGCAGACCCAGATCCGTCTGTGAAACGGTTATATATTCTGGAATCATTCTTCTGATCGGGGAATTGGTTTTCTCTGCTGGGTGTCTATTCTTAGTTTATTTAATGATGTTTGTGTCGATGGGCATCATCAAATTGCAATAATCACCTCCATTAGGCCCAGGAGCACCTGAAGACATGTTCACAGGCTCAAGCGGGGAGGGTAGACGTTGTTCTGGAACAGGGCTGGGACCTGGGGCACGGGTTTATATGGGAAATGAGTTAGCACTCCTGGGGGGCGGGAGGCCTCTCTTGTCTGCATCCCCAACCCTCTAACACAATCCTCTAACTTTGCTGATTCACACTGGGATTCGGTGGCTCCCCATGCTTGCCATGGTGGGGGTCAAATCCCAGACAAGGGAACACAGGTGATCAAACACCCAAGCTGGACAGTTACCTAGACTAACACAGCGACCATGAGAATCACATATCAGAAAGCAGAGGTGTTGGACAGGACAGTGGTGGTTTGTCTGGGTTTCAGTGCTCAGGGGCATAGGCACAGTCACTGTCCAGGAGAGGGATCAAGGTGTTCCATGTTTCCTTATCAGCAGATCTGTGTCCTAACAGTAAACGGCTAGTGTGTCCAAAACAACGTGCTGAGATTTTTAATAAAGCATCTAACCGGGTCAACACCAGGAGGAAGAATCTCTTCAGTCCTGGTTTTGTTTTTAATATGTGTATGTGTAAAACACTGCAGAAAACGACACGGATGACTGAATAGTCAATGCTCACAGGGTCGTAGGCCCCCATTTTGATGCTCAGTATTCTACTTAAAACAAACCCTTGCCTGCAACAGCACAGGACCCAAAAGAATCCGGTAACCACTCAACTCCCACCAGGAGTATAGCCTTCACGAGGAGCCTGGAGGCTTTATTGGTGCTCGGCAAGGAAGCAGCAATTCTCACGCTGTAAGGGGCCTGAGAATCACCTGGAATGTTCACAACTGCAGGCTCCCCAGGCTCCAGAGTTTCAGATTCTGTAGGCCTGTGGGTGGGGCCCCAGCATCTGCATTTTAACCAGCATCCCGGTGATTCCGATGTAGGTGATCCAGGGAACACACTCTGAAAAGCTCGAACAACTGCTGGTCTTTTGAAGGAGAGGAAGGGCTTGTGTTTGAGGAGACAATTGTTCTCTTTTCCTTAGATGTGATAAGAAAGCACAAACTTTTCTTTTCTTCAGAGCAGGATTAACACTCATTTATGCCACTAACATAATGCTTTCCTCCACCTCGACTTCTGACAGGAGGGCCGGCCCATAGGATCTTAACACCCAAGGCTCGTGGCATTCTGACTGTTAGCCACCGGAAGGTGGTCAGCTTCTCAGTTTTTCCTTTTTTTTTTTTTTTCCCTGTTTTTCATCACAATCCCCATAACCTGACACGTGGTTAGATTTTAAAGCTACATGGGAAGTTGCAAATTCAAAAGACTGAACCAGAGACAGGTGAAGAAGAAGCAGAGTCGTCTTAAACTTCATCTTTTAAAAAATCTAAATATCACTGGCTACCTTTTCCCGGATGGCTAGCGAGCTCCAGGCTCTGCTTGAAACCTCTTTCAAGGTGGAGTCTTCTCTTCAGCACGTGTCATTAACACATAACCACCTGGGAGCTTGTGGAAGCCTCAGCCCCGAACAACAGCATCAGAATCCCTGGAGGTGGGGCCAGGCATCCTCTTTTTTCACTTCCAATGTGACTGCAGCAGGCAGGTGATGTTGAGAAGCACCACCTGATGCTTCTGAGGCACCTCGCTCTCCTTTCTACGCGTCACTCTCCACGGCTGGGGTTTACATACAAGAACAGTGAGATATGCCTAGCACCTACCCCAGGCAGTTTGACTTGGTACGTAGTCCCTCCCTAGTTAGATTTAGTTCTGATAAAATTATGCCTGTGCATCCTACCAGGTGCATAATCATACCTGGTAGGAACTCCTTTGGCACAGGTCTCTGAAAGAAAAAGCAAATATTCATCTTGGAAAGTGTGCTGTGTTGGTTTTATTTTATACTTTATAGCAATGTTTCCCAAAGTTTGGGCCAGTGACCACTGGCATAAAAAACACCCAGTGTGGGGAGGGTTAAAAATGCCAATTTCTGGATGCTTCCCTCCTCCTCTCTAGACCTAAGGTGAATCAGGAGCTCTGGGGATAAGGCCAAGCAGCTGTGTTTTTAACCAGCTGCCAGGTGATCTTCTGCGCAGATACGGAAGAAGGAATGCCAGGCCAGAATCAGACCTCCTGGGGTCCCTCCTGAGCACACGCTGGAGGGACGCCCTGGGGCTACACTGGGGGTTGTGGGTACCAATGTAGGAGGCCCTAGAGGCCCAGAAGGATGGGAGAGAGAATCACCCACCATCTCATTACCTTGGGCCTGGCAGGTGTAACTGACTGAGTCCATCAAATGCAAATGGATGAAGGAAGAGCAACAATGAATGAAATGAAATTGAACTCAATTCTGAAGCTGGGAAATCACCTGGTATGTCAGGGTGACCCTGTTCCTGAGGGGAGAGAGGCTGATCGAAGCCCAGTCCCAAAGAAAAGTCTCTTTGCCTTCTCTACCTTACCAGGAAGTTTTGGAGATCAGAAACAATGGAGGACGTGAAAGTACCTCTCAAAATATGAACATGATACATCACTGCAGGGTATGACTTTTTCTGTGATTTAACAGAAATCAGAGGATGTCTGATGGACTCAAACCTCTGGATGAGTGAAGGAGTATTTATAATGAATGCATTTGGGTTAATTTGAATTACACAAATGAAAATAACCTATTACATACCCAATACATTGAAATTTTGTCGATGTGAATGTAGAATGAATGAAACCTTTCTAGATGAAAGTTCTGTCATCCTAACATAGAGTCATGATCAACCCATTTATTCATGAACATCAGGCAGATCTTTTGAGCTCCTACTACAGGAAACTGAGGAAACTTCTTGGCCCCATGGAGTTAACAAAGGGGAGAGAACACCAAGCAGATAATCAAATTATCAAGACTGGGATTATTGGTTAAATTTTACTGTGGTTCCTTCTGAGGTATTTACACTCAGCTTTGACAAAAGCCCCAACTGATAGACTGAGAGAAATTAAAAAGGAAACACTGTACTCCTTGCTCGTCAAAACACTAATCCCACTCTTGTATGGGAAGTTCTATTTATCAGATCTTATTTTCTCATTAAGATCCATTAAATCATTAAAGTCCAACCTCTTAAAACTCTGGGCTGCCACACAAAGCACTACAGTCTGGGTGGCTTAAAAACAGAAATTTTATTTTGTTACAGTCTTCACATTTCCTTTCTTCAGTGTGTGACTGTGCCCTAACGTCCTCCTCTTGTAAGGGCATTGGTCATATTGATAAGGCCCACCCTAATGACCTCATTTAACCTAAATTACCTCTTTAAAGATTCTGTCTCCAAACACAGTCACACTGTGAGGTACTAGGAATTAGGACTTCCACACATTCAACTGGAGTGGGGTAGATGGTCCATGACAGACTACAATATAGCACTTTGTGTCCAGCTCTTCTTCCGGGGCTGGGAAGCCAAGAAAGAGATGAGACAGAGGAGCTATCTGATGTTTCTAACTTGGCCCACTAATTTTAAAACAGGGAAACTTTTTAAAAAAGTGATCACATCTTTCACATCAAATATCTTTCCCAATGAAGCTATTTCAAGTGCCCCTCCATCTGTTCTTTATATTATGTTAACTGAACATGGCTTTGAAAAAAAAAAAAAAGAGTATCGGGCGCCTGGGTGGCTCAGTTGG